CTTTTTGACAATATGACTCTAAATATGATCATATTATTTATTTTATAATATGTAATATGATTTCAAACTAAATAATGATGTATTTTGGTATAAAATTGAATAAACTGAAAACCAATATATAAACCAAATCAAACTGAAGTAAATATGGATTTAGAATAGTAGTTATATTTTAATAACCAAAATACGGAAACCCGATATCGAGATTGAACATTCTTAATCTAGATAAAACCGAACTTTTGTTTCATTTTCCAAAACATAATAAAAATAATAATTTCATCCCGCGCAAGGCGCGGGTCTTATCCTAGTTTGTATGTTAATCGATAAGATTCTCAAAAGTATAGTTGGTTAAGATTTCTATTTATTCAAGGGGGTCTTCTTGAATTAGGCCGTGTTGCTAGTTTTGCAGTTTATGCTTTATAGATGTGCTAACCATTATCAGTGATGTTTTTTTGTGTCAAACTGATAGCTTTAAGTAAACAAGAGAACACATAGTAAACTTGTGATGGAATCAAATGCCTCCTCCAAAGTCTGAAAGAATCAAGCTTAAAACAACATGTATAACACTGTTAATTAACCCTGGAGATTAGAGCACTCTCATCAAGGGATGATGGGGGGAGTTTACACGCAAACCAAAAAATAATATTATTAAAATCAGATTTCTACGAACTCCTCTCTCAAAAATTCACTGTGGTGAACCCCGATGACCCTGGATTCACCACGTGTCAGCTAGTGATTGGTCTTTTATTATTATTATTATTATTATTATTTTTTAAAAGTGAACGAAAATAAAAAAAAAATTATTTGTATGAACCCCCAAGGGAGGGTTCATCAATGTGGATGCTCTTAGTGAACTTAGAAAATTGTTGTATTTTTTGTCCAAAAAAAAATTGTTGTATTTATATTTAGATATGGAATCATGAACTAAAACAATAAAACTAAACTACATAAATTTAGGAAATTATGGCTATATTTATATTATGTGATCTGAAGCTAATGTTTTACTTGCTTTAAAGAAGGGAAGAGTCTCTATAGGTATACAACTGATGCATGTCCCTAAATATTACCTATTAATGGTTGAAGTCTTTAAAGGCTGAGAAAAGTCTTTATTGTATATGAATCTGATTAATGTAAGGTTGAACTTCAGAATAGGTATGGGCACATAACGAATATTCAGAAAATTCGATGTATCCGTAATCCGCTCTGGCCTAAACAAATATTTATGTTTGTGATTCGCTTTGATTTAGAATTCTCTCAAATATTTGTGAATTATGCGATTGGATCTCCAGTTATATTAAAAATAGACAAAATAAAATTAATACTATATATAATATTAAATTAAATTAACTAAAAACTTTCATAATATTAATTTAAGATAAACACTACAAAAAGTCTATTTTACATCATTTATTTTAAATATTTGCAATAGTTAAAAGTGATGTTAGAGAATTTTGTATCATTTAAATAAATGACTCTGAAAGTGATGCTGGAAATAATTTGTATCAATTTATCAATAATTGATGTAAATTTATTAAATATTTGCATCAACGGTAAAATTGATGTCAATATATATCAATTGTAATAAATGATGTTAACATTTACATCAAATGTTATAAACGATGTTATTTTGATATCATTTAAAATAACTAATTTGAACTATTTTTTATCATTTAATAACTAATTGAAAACTAATTTTATTTTCTAAAATGATTTTTAAATTATATATTTTAGTTAAAAGTTTGATTTAAAATGTGAAATTTCTGCCGTTTTTAAACTGATACAAAATTATTATCAACAATCTGTAGCATATTTTATTCACTTCTTATATAATGTACAAAAAAAAATAGGAAAATTAAAATCTAAATTACAATTAATGTATAAGAAAAGAAATTACATCCAGCGTACAAACTTACAAGGCATAAATAAAAATGCTAAACAATATTGCTAAAGTAATCATTATCACATCTACGTAAACATTGCTCGTCTTCTCCATGGACACTACAAGAAAACAGCGATATTCTGAGGGTCATTTTCCTCAGAATGTCGTCAGAATATGTCTATTCCGACGCCATTCCAAAGAAAATAATCGTCGGAAATACTTCGTCGAAAAAAACATTTCCTCAGAATTTCGTCAGAGACACCAAGAAAATACCGAAGACTTCCGCCGGACTAGTAATCCGACGAAATTACGAAAAAGAGAAGTCATCGGTTTATCCCTACGAACACTTAGTCGGACAATATTGTCGGAATGCGTCCGTCGGAAGCTTTGTCAGAAGATTCTGACGGACCAGTCCTCGGAATATTCCGATGGACGTAGCCGTCGAAATATTCCGAGAACATTAATTCCTCGGAAATGGTTCCTCGGAATATCCCGAGAATCTATCCGTCGGAATATTCCGAGGAAGTATTCGTCGGAATATTCCGAGGGATGTGCTTCCTTGGAAATTCTTAATTTTTTAAAAAATAATGTATAATAATTAATTATTTTAAAAAAAATATTTATACAATAATTATTTGAAAATATAAAATTAAAATTGAAATAAAAAACATATTATAA